ACCTCGGCGACTCCGCGTTTAAACATCACCAGGCGATCGAACGGCAAACCCGTGGGGTGGAAACGGCACACGCCGAGGGGACGTGGAATGCGAGCTATATGAATGCCCACACGGCGGTGGGCACCCTCGCGCGGCGGATGGGGGTCCAGGCCGAGGATATTGTCGGGGTGGGGAGTAAAGGGGCGGCGGTGCGGGCCGCCATCGCCGAGGCCCATCTCACCAATGAGGTCCGCCAAGTCTTCGGCGACGAAGGCGTTAGGTTGGATCTCGTCGAGTCTTCCCAGCCCAATCTGCTCCATTCACGCAGTAATACCACCATTTTAGTCAAAAACCTTAGTCTGACCCAACCCCAGGACTCCGTGTCGCTTTCGCAGCTGTTCCTGAAGTTTGGCATGCTGGAGACAACGGTGTTTCCTTCTTCGGGGGCTTTTGCCCTGTTTCGCTATCTTCACCCGCAGGATGCCCGAATTGCGTTTTCCCGATTATCCTTCAAGGCCTTTCGAAACGCGCCGTTGTTTTTGGAATGGGCACCGATCGGCAGCATCGTCGAAGACCCCGAGGAGGCTGAGGAAAAGGAAGGCGAGGAGGGCACAACGAAGGCGCGCGCCGCCGAAGCTCAGTTGACATCCGCGAAGACCACCGTGTACACCCTTTTTATTACGAATATTCCGTTTAACGCGACGGAAGAGGATCTTCGCGATTTTCTGGTGGACACCTGCCCACGTTTCGCCAGGCGGACCGCAGAGCTCATTCAGCGCCTGGTCCACCAACGGGAGCTCGGGCGTGCGTTTTTAACTGTCCCCGACCCACGCACTTTCGCCTATTGCTTAGCAAAGCTAAATGGTGGGATTTTTGATGGCCGTACACTGTCTTGCGTTCAGAGCAAGGCGTCCTTGGTTAATCTGGAAAAGGCCCAGGCGGGTGGGCACGCTATGCGATCCACGAATGACGAAGAAAACGACCACGAACATGACCTGTCAAAGGTCAAATCCGTTATTCTACCTCGCGCAACGGAGCACGCTCGCGGTGGTCGAACGGTCCCGCCCGGGTGCGATCCGTGCAAGATTGTGGTGAAGAATCTTCCTTTTGAGGCAACGGAAAAGGATGTTCGAGATCTCTTTTCGGCATTTTCCGAGGTACGTAGTGTGCGCGTGCCTCGAAAGAATAACAACTTTACGTCGCACCGTGAGAACAATCATCGTGGCTTCGCCTTTGTGGAATTCCTGTCCGAGGCTGAGGCCGCGCGTGCGTTCGTGTTAGGCTCTACGCATTTATACGGCAGGCATCTGGTGCTTCAGTATGCGAAAATCGAGTAGGATGGAAAGCTGAGTTGACGCGATGAACGTTGTCTGCAAGTCTGTATATATTATTAAAGATCCAGGTCTATAATCTAAATACGTGTGATATCACATTACCAAGTAATCGTTTAAGAATTTAAAGCCAGATTTATATCTTCATTCTATTTTTGAGCCTGTTGCTCCTCCACTTCACCTCACAGACGTCCTAATGAATTTTAATGTGTTTTGATAGTTTGGTTAGTGCATTAAAATAAGATACAACTTGTGATCTAACTACTGCTACCCTCATTGGTCTTTTCTTTGGAAGTCTTTTCCTAACCTTTGGTTGCTGCAGTGTGTCAATAGATGTGTAGGTTGGAGATTTAACACGGTAAAACCTTAGCCGTCATTTCAACAAGAGTGCATTATTGTGTGCGTGCGTAAAGTGGCTATTTAAACCCCCTTGACGCCTGAAATCCGAGATTTTGTCCTCGCCCCGGGCCTTTCGTAATGTAAAAAAGTCTTTGCGGTTTCCCCCTCCTTCCTTCCCTCCTCCAAATTAAAATAACAAACCTAAAAGTATACCCCAAAGAAGACAACTGATTCCTCAGGGGGTCGCATTCTATCACCATCCCCTTTGTGTAACAGACCGCGGCGATGGAAGATCGCGCGGTGGTGCTGTCTGTCAGGGAGGATCTCCTACACGGGCCCTTCCTCCGGGTTCACACCGGCCCCGAGGCCCTTCCGCCCTTGCCCTGTGTGGAAGCGTCGGCAGGGGAGGGGGAGTCCCTGGCCCGCGCGAACGCCGTCCTGCTCCTACCCCTGTTTGGCCCGAACTTCACGGCGGTCCTGCCCTACCTCGTCCGCTGCGCCGACGAGGAGGACCCACAGCTGAGCTTTGCCGTTGCCATAGCGCTGATGGGGATGCTGCGGCCCCGACCCTGCGCGAAGGCCCGGTTGCCAACGTGGGCCGAATCCGCGCGGGGGCTGCTGGGGGGCCTGGGCGCCGTCCGCGGCGTCCTCACGAGGCTCAGCGCGAGCCGAGAGGGCCGGATTCGGCACCTCGTGTCTGACGTGGTCCTCCCACACTTGGGCTTTGGCGTGGGCCTGGAGCGGAAGGTGACGTTGGAAGGGTGGGAACGGCGGTATATCCCACCCCAATCCGGCCATCCCGACGACAAAGCCGGGGAGGGGGACTTTTACTGGAGTGAAGCGGAGACCACGGCCATGGCGCCAGGCGAGGGGGCGAAGGGCTCTGACGGAGAAGCGGTGAAAAAGGATGAAGAGGAAACAGACGAGACGAATCCACTGCTGCTCGAAGAAAGGCTAAAGTTTATACACGACGATGAGTTCATAAGTCTATTTCATAGCGCTCGGGTACACCACGAGGCGAGGTGCCAAGGCGGTGATGGCGAGCTTAGCCGCTCAAGAACTACGGCTGCGCATCAACAGCAGAGCGCTTGCACGGCTCCGAGTCGTTCTAGTTTCCTTTTGGATGTTCCACTAGAGTTGTATGGCGCTTCTTATGCCGCAGCACTTCATGCAGACTCTGAGAATGACCCTTTTTCTCTAAATCTTCGGGCTCGCTCGTTAGTTGGTGAGATAGAAAGTTGGCTTACTGGTTTCACGTCGGCTGAAAAGCAACGAGGATCTTCTCAAAAAGTATCTCCTTTCTTGAATAAACTTCGGGCAAAGAATAACAGTTACAATCTCAACACCGATAACCAAGTCATTGATTCTTCTCCTGTGAAGCCACTCCAGCCTTTACAATATCAACTGAGTGTGGCTGATTACCTTGAGTGCGACTCCGTACAGCGCAAGACCCTGGGGCAACAGTGGGAACACTTCCAAAGGCTGATCCAGTATCTTTTAAACTCAACCTATCCTGGAGCTGTGGCAGTCGCAGTGGCGACAATCAGTCGTCTACTTCACGTAATTCAAAGCGCCCTTGCCGAAGGACCAAACTGCAACACGTTATTGAACCCTGGAAGTCTTGTCAGCATCTCGTTGCCCCAAAAGCTACTTCGCACCGCAGCTGAACTGCGGCATTTCATCACCCAAATGACCCACCGCCACATATTCATGGTACTCACTGCGGCCACCTCATCAAGGAGGGCACCCCATACCGCTTCCGAAACGGTTTCTCTAGTCCAAGAAGCATTAATTGAGGTGCGGGGTACGTTACGATCTATTCTGAAAAAGCATCACCTGCTGATTGACACACCGAGCATTGCATCTTTGAGTGGAATCAATGGAGCGAGTTTTAAGGGGCTGCTGTGCTTCGGCCCGGGCCCACGCGAGCTCCGAATAGCTTCGTTGTCTGCCTGGGATGCAGGTCTCGGTTTGAATAGTCCAGACAGTATCCCACGCCTGCTCATCGAACCCCCTGGCGCCGTGGATGATGGCAATGGTGACTGCCATCACAACTCACAATTCCGGCAGGGTGGGAGTGATATTGGGGGCTTTTCCCCTCGACTTCACCGGATCCTACACCTTTCCCTGATACGCGCACTACCCTCCCTTCTCGATTGGGGTACCGTATTCGGTACTCCTTTTAACACCACAGCAACCACAGGGCGTAACCGTAGCCATTCTAGTATGCTGTCACCTGTTACAATAAGAAGTTTTATCACGATATTCATGCAGCTTCTGGTGCCTGCTTCCGAGATACCAGAGCTATTGCACATGTTTGCTGAAATGACAAACACTACGAAATGGACGGAAAAAATCCACCTTGCCACCCAGTCCGAGACGGATCTAACGGGTGCCGAGCCTAATTCGAACGGAAAACTTAGTAGTTTACATCATTTAATGGGGGAAACGCTTGCTTCGCTAGATTTTGATATGGTGCAAACAGCGCTAAAAGCAGCACATGAATGCTTTGTTGAGGCTGCTATTGCACTCCCCATGCTTCTTTATAAAGAATTCCGAAAGGGGACCTCGACGTCTCCATACACACGCAGTGATACCGTAGAGGACTCTAGAATCGACACCCAACTAAGAGACTTGCTGAGTTGCTTGTACATGGTTTACTACATGTGCGCTAAGTACATTGCTTTCTATCCTTCCTGGAAGGCTCGGTATCAGGTGGCGAAAAAACTGCCTGGCCTTACTGCCGCCTTTGTTTATGTATTGCTACGTCTCAAGCATGCGTTAGCCACCATTGCAGATACCACAACTGAAAATGGTATTTCATATCCTGTGGCTAGTACATTGCACTTCTATTGCAAACTGTGCAAACTTTTAACTGACCTTTGGTCATCAAAGGGAGGTGTGGCCCACCCACTTGGCTGTTGGGTGAACGACTACGAAACAGAGGTTCGTGCTATGGTGTTGCCATGTGCTGCAGACACTTTTTTCGTCATGGTTCAGGGTGTTGTTGGTCTATGCCATAGCGAAATGAAAGTTTGGGATGTCAAACCCAATAGGCAGGTTGAAGCAGTGGCGACCTGGAGCAGGGAAAATGTACATCTGTTCGAGATGTTATTGATCCTTCTTGAGTCAATCTTACACGTATCTCAGTTCAGTCTTCAGGACACAAACGAACAGGTGCGATCCGGCTCTCCGACAGCTCTGACTTCGCTTTCTAGTTCGTTGTGGGTATTGATTGAAAGTATGATGTATCCTAATCCAAACAATACGTCTTTATCGAACCGAACTTTAGTGAACAAAACCATGCACGCCAGGAACGGGATAAGGTCGCTAATAGCGGCAGACGCACTAGTACGTCTCATAGACGACCCTAGCCCATTGGTTCGGCTAGCGGCAGCTTCAGGACTCGCGGACTCTATCGCCAGCTTTACAAAGCGACGTGGTAGAATTGGTGAGATCGAGGAAGGTGATAGCACTACCTTCAAAGCTCAGTGTAGGGGCTTGTTTTTTTGTATGGAGAGCCTCTCTAAGCATGAATCCTGGCGCTTTCGCGAAAAGTACTCCGCATTGTTAAGTGCGATTTGTTTTAAATTTCTTGCACCGACGTATCCACAGAACCTCGAGGTGTGCAACCGGGTCATCACGAGTTCCAGGGAATCGCATGAGCAACAGGGAGACTTGGAAAGTGTTGCTGAGGATTCCGATCGCTATAGCCTTCCTCTTCTGATATACACTAAACTTTTGCCTATGCTTGTTGAGCTTATTTTTGACAAGGGTAAAGCCGTGCGCGACGCGGCACTTAGCCACGTATCATATCTCTGCACCAAACTGGCTTCAGTTCACACATCCCATGAATATTCACGGACCAGGCCTGCATCGTTCGGTGGAGCCACAGCACGACCGAAGAACATCTTGAGGACAACTCTTCACACAAAAGAGTCGGCGCCGCTGATGAAGAAGGATAAATTTGTGAGCAACGTTTTGTGGCCCTTGATTACTAGCCATCCGGCAGCTTGGAGTACCTACTTGAATCGCAGCGCTCTACTATATGCGGCGGTACATCTAGGGGTCGATGTGGAGACAACTTTATTACCTCTCCTAAATATGTTGGCGCGGGATTTAGTCCCGAACGTGCGTTCAATGGTGGCCAAAATGATTCTTGAAGTCCTCCTCAACAGCTCGCGCCGACCTATGCTCAACAGGACGAAAGAAAGTTGCCCATGCCAAAGTAGTCTTAAGGCTAGACAAGACAACATCCAAAACGATGGCGTCGGTTCCGTTCCGACTTGTTCTTCTAGAAACGCAAATAAAATTAAACACATCGCAAGTTGTAACGCAACAAGATTGTCTGATGAAGTTGCATCATTAGCACCGCTAATCTTCACTGATGAGGAGAAAAACGGTGTAGTGCTAGTTATTTTGAGACAACTACTGGAAGACACTTCAGCAGATGTGCGGAATCAAGCTGCTGAGGCATTCAGAGTATGTTTTTAGCAACAATAACTAGAAGAAGCGAATTCGTAATCTTTAGACTATATAACAGAAGTACCTTCCAAACGAAGAAAGTTCTCTTACGGATCCTCATAGGACTGTTTAAAGTGCATAAATGCCTTTAAAATATATACACAAAATGCATCCGGAACATTATATATATATATATATATATATTGTTATATCGTTGCAAGTTTAATATTAACTCATTGCAATACTGTATTAGTTTTTTTCTCAATTCATTGGTCATACCTTCTATTCCTACAGTTATTAATATGACTAGGGCATTGAATTTCCTCTATTGGCACTTTCGCCATTGCGAAAACAAAAATATCTGAATGCGATGGAGCAATATGACAACTATACCGATTGTCGAATAATATTTTTTTGTATTTGCGATCCATAGGGACAAAAACAGGAATAATCGGAAGGATAACAGACATGCATTTTTGAAAATTTTGGACTTTCTTTCGAGGGATCATGTAGTATTTTCCTCTTTTTTAATCCCAAGGCATGTTTTTTTTTTATTGCATTATACCGACAAGATAGCCTTTCTTTAGGTCTTTTTATCCATTTGTCATCCATCTACAAAGCCTCTAAAAAACAAAGTACACCTTTAGAGTAATAATAATTGCTCATTCTTCTTCTTTGAATAAATGCTCGGCATTCGTTGCATGACTTTATCGACATGTGCGGCACTATGCAAACGTGCTGTACACCCTTTGTCTTGCCATGGGGCATTTAAAGCCTTCGCAGTGACTCCTTATATACGCAACTACGGCATATTTACCGCAGTGGGACTTGGGAAACACAAAGGGGCTACGTTCGAAAACTTTGACTGTGCAGTCAAGCCTGTACTAAAGCATGGATGTGCAAAGCGCTTCCTCACGGCTGCCTCACTCGTTTCAAATAGCAGCAGTACCACTCCAATCGCTGACCGTGCGATAGGAACGAAAAGACCTTATTTACCCTTTGCCTTTGCAATGCGCCCATCCCGAGGACGCAGTTTTATCAGTGGGTGCTACCTTGGTGGCCACGCGATTTCCACTGGAAGTGCATCATACCGTGCTTCATTTCGCGCCATGCATGTTCGTGGTAAACCAACTAGCGCCGAACAAGAAACTAGTGGTCCCGAGGGGGCTGAACGCGAACAGGAACAAAGTGGAGAAGGTAAGAAGGCGAAAGGCCGGCAGCAGGCCAAAGCCCACACCTTCCGCGATCATATTCGAGGCCTCAAAGAGGACTACGTGAAATTTCCCGACATCTACAATAGCGCCAATGCCATCAACTTCATCATTTTTACCGTTTTTTGTCTATGTAGCACGGGCAGTAACACGGAGGAAAAGTGGTGGATGGATCGCTGGGGCCTTGACAACACCTTTCAGCCATCGGCCTGGCTGCTTCACTCCTTTCTGTGCCAAAACTTCCTGTCCATGACGTACTCAATGATGCTGTTGCACACCATGTGCCACGCAATGCTCCCGACTATTGGCTCCAAAGGATTGCTCATCTACGTCACTGCCACAGCGGCGATCTCGGGAGTTGTGGTGTGGCTGGGCAATCGTCTGTACTATGGTCCACGGAAACCGGCGCCGGAGAAGCAGTTTGGGCCGTGGGACGTGGTGTCTGCGTTGTTTGTGATGGAGTATCTTCACTATGGGGTGACCCCTATCGCAATTCTAAACAGCTTTAACAGCTGGATTCGCTATGCGGTGTGGGTAGGGGAGATCTGCATTTTATATTTTGATTGGCAGACGACGGTCGTGGGTACAGTTGTCGGAATGGCACTTTGTAAAGGGGTTCCTCGCTTCAATATCTCAAAGATCAAGGGTGTCTAATGTTAAAGGTGATTAAAAAAACATCCTTGTGGTATTAAAGAGAGATATAGCGCTTGAGTTGAATGATATAAACGGTTGTGTAAATAAACTTATACCAATTTGCTCTTCTGGTTACTACTCACCGTTCAGAAACGCTCATTAGTTGTTGGTATTCAGGCTTTGAATTTCTTAGTAACTTCTGAAACACATTGATTGCGTTATATTCCACCCATGTATTGCTATGTCTGGTGAAGGGGGGTTTTAGTGATGAATGGGTTTCTGTCTTTTCTTCACTTTTACTAATTCTCATGAACTCATTACGCTGGGATCGCACTTGCCTCCATGTCTGCTCACTCCATGCTCTATATCCTGTTGATTAAAATTGTATCTTTTTTAAAGTATTGCAGGGCACATAATAAGTGTCTATGATATCCAGTACCATGATGATGATTTGGCACTTTTTCGATTTCTAATTGTCAATGTCAGTGATTGTCAAATGAACCTTATGTAATCATAATAGTGACCCAAATCTCATATTGAATTACTCATTTTTCATTGCTTTTTAGTGTAGTTTAGACAAGAGCTTCTTTAGAAATATACTTGTGCGTACTCTCAAGGAAGGCCAAGAATGAGACTATTAGATGTCGCTAATAATCTATTTATTATCGTTTCACTTTGTACTCAGTAATTTAATATTAAAGCTCGGTTCTTGAATTACCTATAACACGCTACTAGACTTATTTTTATTTATTCTGTCTATAGATATTTTTACACCTGCACATCATTTCTTTCAATCATCGATCTCACGTTATCTTCCCGGTAATTTGGGCTGTCCAATCTATAAATTGTATATTTATACTGCTGGGACTTATATAATTTTTTTTTTTAGAATAACAACAATAATGTATCAGATGATGGAGTGGACAATGCTTGAAGCATCACTATTGTCCAACAACGGTAACAGCCCTGAGGTCTCATCTGTTGGATCCTCCATCACTACTTATCACAAACGATGTATAAAAAATCAAAATTTTATCCATCTCAAAGAACACTTGTTGGGTGCTGAGGAACCGGTTAGCACTACACAAGCAAATCGGCTCACACGAGGCCTGTCGATGCAGCCCCTACCGCCTTCCCACAGCTCCCCCTCTGAAGGAGTGCAACTCCCTGTTCTCGGTTTCCCTATGCCAGATCATGAAAGCAAGGATATCGTACTCACCACGGTAATGGTGCCAATGCCACAACCCACCACCAATCCCCTCAATTATCCACATTTAATCTTTAATTATTACAAATCTCAACAACAATTGATATTGAACAATAATCACACGCATCAGCCCCAACCACTCGCTTCTAAATGGTTGGGAGGCACTATACCCATCATGGCTGAATCTCCGGTAGCGTGTGATCCCATAAACAGGACGTTGTCGAGCGAAAGAACGTGTTTGGATACAGAATCCATTCATGCCACAATGCGCAATAACTATGACAGTCAAGAAAGCCCCCACTTATGCCACTCTCCAACGGAAAACTCGATTTCCAACATCTCCACAATCAATATTGGATCCCTTTGGAATCTCAGTGATAGTTCGAGCCACCTGCTGAGCCACACCACTTTCTACCGAGCTACCGAGATGCTAGCCCGATCGAGTGCCTCTCCATCCCCGTCGATAGTCAACACTCAACCACCATCTCCTTATGGACGATATGATGTCAACACCATCGAACATTACACCCACCCAAACCGTACCAATGAGCCATCACGTTCACTCTCCAGGACGCGGTATTCCGCCTGTTCTTCTCAACCATCCCAACTAGAGGGGGGTGGGTGGGTGGAGTACTCCCATCGATGCTCGCGAGAAGGTCCCAGGGCCCAGGGGGGGATGGTTTTCCCTCCCGACTCCACACGTCCAAAAAGGGATGTGCTGATGGGGAATGGGTTCCTGCCGGATTCCCCACGCGGGGCCGATGGGGAAAGTCCATCCCCGTCTTGCTTGCGGTCCTCTTGGTGGGGTCGTAGGGGGTTGGAGTGGGCGCCGCGTGGGAGGCCCCTGTCCTTGAGCCCTAGCCGTCCTCAGTCTTATAGCCGGACGCCGTCACGGGGCCGACCTCCACGGACGGGCCGCTGTAACAGCCATTGGGACTCGTTCCTGAGTCGGTTTCAGTGCACTCCGCGGGCTTTGGGAAGTCCCTGGAGAAATGAACAAGGGGTGTGCCACGTGCGAGAGGGCGGTTCTGAGGACCCAAGTCACTGCACTGTGAGAACAGAGGCCTCGTTACCGGTTGCGAATTGTCCTCCATTGATCATGAATGGCATGTTTTTTTATGATGAAATGACAAAGCTGTCGTTAGTTTTGTCGCCTACATTAATTAATTCAACTTCAATGCGGACGGTAGTCGCCATGGCGGATGATTATGCGGTCGGGCCGAAACAACAAAGTGAGTTGCCTTCCCCCGTGGATTTGGAGCTGGACTTTAGCGGTAGGAGGATAGAGAATGGTGACCATAAGGAAGGCGATAAGTGTCGGGACCTAGTGCTGGGAGTCTATCAGCCTTCATATGATTGTCACGTAGAAATCATTCACAATAAAGATCACCAAGGGACGGTATGCGGTACCGTAATTGCTCCTAATCCACCGAACCACACCACTCATATTGGCGTTTCTTTGGGTCATCAAGTACACAAAGACAAGGTGGTGACTGTAGTGTGTAATAGAGAACGAAAAGAAATCGATGAGGTAGATACAAAGGGTGAAATGACCTATGACCATGGTGTGAATACTCTTTTCGAAGGGTTTCAGTCGCCACGACAACCGATATTACTGCGAAGCAGCGGGGATGGTGAAGTGCGAACTGACTGTATGCCATCACCACCCAAGCCGTCATCATATCACATTTCTAATTACTTAGATCATAATGTGGAAAAGCGTAGTAACAGTTGTGAGTACAAAAAAACAACATCTGGTATCAACTTGGAGGAACCCAGCAATCCTTTTTTATCATTGTACAGTGAGCACGTGTGGGGTCGCCGGTGGCATCAAATGGAGAAGTATCAGAGTCAATTAGAAACGATGAATGAATATTTATCACCTTCAGGGTCACTTCACCTTTTTCATAAAGTCTCGCGTTTCACCGGATCGAATGACATTATGACAGCCACACGATCAATATCAGACGCGGCAAAGAAACGATCGTTATCGAGGACACCGTTGCCATCCCCTAGAGATTTTATTACCCCAAACTCAATGTTGATCACGTTTCCATCCGTTAACAAAGATGAAACGGTGGAGGCGGGTGAAAAAAATAGGTCCTCCTCTTTTTTATTTTCTTCCGCATCGAGTGAACGTATTGACGATTTGGTTCTTATTAAACCACACCACGTTTCCATTCGCTATAATTCTTTCTTTGTGGAAAATAAGATGCTCAGGGCTAGCGGCAGCGTTAGTAGGCAGCGACTGTCATGGGCCCCATGGAAACATAATCACTGTGTGGTTAATTCCCTATGTCGACCTCATCAAAGCAATGGTGAGAGGTCTTCTGCTCCCTCATCACACACACCTTTTGCGCAGCAGCTTTTTGAAGATATCAGTGATTGCCATTCACGGGCATCTTCCGCGAGGTGTTGGTCTACCTCGAGGTACGCGTTAGACATTTCAACTAGGGCCGATAGCACTGTGGAGAGTGGAGAGTGACATAACACTACCTTTGGTAAAAGTCATTAAAAATATTCAAGTGCATATCGTTCTGGTGTGGTGAAAGGTGTGGGGTCTGTGCCTTTGATAATATAATCTGTCCTGGTGTATGTTTTTCTACCGTGTGGTTGCCTCCCCTCCCGCGTCAAGCGATTTTGATGTGTACGAGAACATTCAGAGTTATCATGCAACTCATCACCCTTAGGGATAAACTGTAGGGAATAATGTCATGATAATTGATGCTGTGTCCACAGTAAGAGGTAGATCGGCGATGGCGAGAGATTATCATGGCATCAGCACCACTTTTTCTCTATCTTACTAAATTTTAGCTTTAAGCCCGCATTTACAACTCAAACACCGAGGTCAACGCCGTCGCCGGATTACCGCGATGACGGATCTTGGAAAGCGTCCCTTGGCAATACCTCAGAGAGGCTGACAAGTTCGATACAAAATGGGTGCAAGAAGGTTGAAATCAAGGTGTAAGAGGCGTCTCAAGACCATAACTTGGTGACGTATTCACATTCTCTTTATCAGCGACCTCCCACACACCTTGGTATGGCCACAAACAATGCCCATGACTCGCTCAAAAATCAAAGGTTGAAAGTATTTTGAAGAGGTTCCGAATTTTTTCAGACACCAACGTCGGTGGTGGCATCTTTTATTTTACTTCAAAAAAAAACTTTATCCTCGAGCGCTATGAAAGGGTCAATATCGTGGTTTGCATCGCAAACCTCTTTGTTGTTGACAGTGAGTTTGAGATAATATGGTAAAGATAACAAAATCGATGAATCCCAGCGGTGGTCGAAGAGTTCTGAGTGAATAACATCAACTGTTCTGTGTGTGTGTGTTTACAATCACATTGCTTATCACAAGTAGAGTGAGGAATGGCGATAAGAACGCCCATTTTGGGCACCTGTGTTAAGACCCCGTAGGAAAAATAGTACATTGTAATTCTCTACCTGCAAAGGGCTGTGCGCTTGACATACGAATACGTGTGCTCCGCAAGAGTCAATCTTCTGGAAAGCTCCAAATTGTCAAAGTGAATATAAACCAGTTCTACTAGAAAAAGAAGTGTTCACGCAATTTCCTAAGGGAGCACCACCGCAAGATTCCAATGAAAGTCTTGGTCTGAGTGGCAGTGGCGCTGAAACTGGGATCAATGAGTCTCAGAAGAATATATATTCCTATAATATTATCTGCGGTGCTTTACCGGTATCTGTGGGTGTACATTGTAATCGTTTATCTATAGGTTTCCAGATAGTTCATTTGGTATAGGTTTCTTTTGTTTATAATACTCATTCTTTTCTCCTTATTATGCAAGTTTACTTAATTATATTTACATAAATTCTATAAAATGCGATAGAAAGATACTGCTGAAAATAAGTTGTAATCAATTCTTAGTGTATAATAAATTTATTGAAAAATATTTTATGTATTACTTTACTTTACAGAAATGAAAATGTCGAACTAGGATTACTCCTCAGAAAGTTTTGGATTGCAGTCTTTTATGGATGCATTTGTTATCAGGTTCATATCGGCAACACATGAATATCTAAATGTGTGTTTTTACATATCTTCTTGGTTTCCCTTTCCCTCTCTGTGTTTAGGTGTGGGGTGTTACGTTTTGACAGTAAAACATACAAATAAAAGTTGTATTAAACACACACACCACGCGAAGTTTTCACACTTTTTTTTGTACCCGACCTTTTGGCTATTATGCGTACTGCCGAAAATAATAATCCTGAAGAGGATCAATTCCTCCCGATCGATTCAGTAAACCACTTAACAAATCTAAACGAAAAAACAAATAGGCCAAATATTCCATACAAGAAACTGCCGGAAGAAAAACAATGTAGTTTGGATAGTAATAGTCGTAACGAGGATTCACTCGAAAATGGCACCGATCCAATTTCAAAAAAAGTCCCAATAACATCACACAGTTTGAATTCATTGTCGACAAATACAGACAAACCCTTCACCATTCATATTAATGATCTCCCCACACTAATCTCCAGCGCGGAGCCGTTTGTGAATCCACAACAACTATTCCCCCAGTCCGGTTTGTTATTCTTGGATGTGACCTCTCAAGAATATGGGACGCAGGTATCGAAGTCGCAAAAACAGAAATACACCAAATTGATAACAGACTATGAATCTGAGCGCGAGGGGCTACGTAAAAAGCTAAAAATATATCGAATTAATATCGTTCGATCTTCTCAGACCGCAACCAAACGCCTGAAAAACGAGAAGCAGAGCACGACAACGGAGGACATAGTATCTACGGAGGAATCGGTTTCTGATCAGAGACAGACGACAATCCTCTCGGCCTCACATCCTGAGATCGGCATGATTAACCAAATTTCCACAGCCACTGGATCCGAAAGCAGCAACCGGAAATGCGATGATGCTGATGAAAAGCGAATGAATTCCGAAAAAATCACAACAATGGTGAATGCGATCGCATTACTGACGAAACAAATAGCAGACACCCGATATACGCTAAAAAATATGTCTTCACAGTCATCACCGTCTGTACTGTTGTTACCCTCTCCGTCTAACGGATTGGTGCGCGTCTACGCGAACCACCATTACCGTACTGTAAAATTCATAGGTGAACATTTGTGTCTGACAGGAAGGCTCGAACCTTTTTTCGTAGATCCACGCATGTGTAATATCGATTTATTTTCCTCCCAACATTCTGAAGTTTTATCTAACAAATTGGAAAATGATCTAACCCATAAAAATACCGAATGTTGCAACGACACTTCAAGAAATAGAAGGACACGGAAAATGAACCATGAGCCCCAGGAAAGTGAAAATAAATGGATTGGATTAGAAATGCTTGGGATTCGTAATTACTTGAAGACACATCCAGGTTCTATTGCTGAAGAATTTTTCGAACTTCCAACGGAGGAAAGGGCAGCCTATACCACAAGGACGCTTTGAATTTGCATGTGAATTTAATGAAGTGATTCACGCTTGATAGGTATCCTGTGTGTTTGTTTTAGTCGTCTCTTATCGAAGTTCTTCTTCATTTTAAAAACCTTTCATGGTTATAATAATCGTATCCTTGCTAGCACTGTAGCTCTCTCTCTCTCTCTATTATGCATACATATATATATATATAATTTTAAACTATTGTTTTGAGTAACTTTCTAATGATGATCGAACTGACATCTTTGTGACATCTAAAATCCTTCCATGGGACAATGCGGACAACCTGTCTTCAAAATGCAAGTCAAACAACCAGCACATGAGGTGTCATTTATTAGAAAAGAGAACCGCCACCACCACAACACACATACACACACACACATAAAAGAAATCCAAATGGTATTAACAGAGTCCACCCTTCCCAAAGATTCATCCTCGAATCCAGGCCGAACCGATTCCGGAGGAGGGGGGGGGTGCAATTCCCACCTTTACAACTACATCGTCGAACGGGCCGCGCCGAGCAAGTTGTGTCAAATGCGTCACGTCCAGCCCAGGCCCTACACCCCCCTTTATCCCGACCTCATCGCGCGGGTGACACAGTCCAACGACTACACCCTGCGCCCCCCCCCTTACGTCGTGCAACAGACCCTGATGGAGTTCTACCGGGTCTGTAACGGGCATTACGGCATTCACTGCGAGGTCCCAAGCTCGATGGAGCTGCTCACGATGCAGGGCTATCACGGCAACACGAGTCCGAGCGGGGGCGGCGCCCCACAGGGAGCTCCATCGTCGTCGTCCCCGGGCTTAGCGGCCTGCACCACACGGTCGGGCATCACGGGTGTGCCCAATAAGCTAGTGGCCGGTGCAAGGGATGGGAGACGTGATGGGAATGATGAGGAAACGTTGAGGGCTAATGACTTTACTAAAGTCTTGGATGATTACCGAATTACACAACTCCGCCGCAATGCCCAGCACCAAGATACCTATAACGGTAGAAGACTGTGCATGTACTTCAATACACGCGAGGGATGCCGCCGGGGGCCCTATTGTGAATTCCTTCATGTGGATAAGAACGGTGCATTGGCGCAGAGTCGTCGTGTGGAAAGTGATACTTAAACGAAGGATAGAGTACATCCTCCTTTAGATGATATTACAAAAGGAGAGAAAAAGGATTAAAAATATATAAGTGAAACTATATTGCTAAAACGGATCGAATACATGTCTGTCATATAGCACTATTAAGCTATAGTTGTTTCTTTCTGTTGATTGGGGGGTTCCTCTTGTTGCTGATGCAAAGCGTAAGAATTCGAGATCCACTTCTGAAGAAGTTTCTTCTCTTCAGCAGTTGTTCTGCTTTTATCACCATCAGACTACTGCATTTTGTGTTTTTTTTCCCCCTTTTTCTTCAAGAGTTTTGTTGAAATGAAAATAGACTTTTAAGTGGATAATATTTGTATAGTTTACTTGAAGAAATTGACATTTAGATTTTCCATTCAAGCAATACACGAATAGATAAATGCCCATATTCTGTCAATCTGGAAGGGTATTATGGGTCAGTCATCTATGGTGTTCATTACTTGTTGCAATGCTATTTTTTAGCATTACCCATTGCCACTTGTGTCTTGCTGGCTATCTTGATGATCCGGTTATCATTAATGGTATGTATTACTACTCTGTCTTCATTAGCGGTACTACAGAGGAGGTCATAGATGGTACCTCTCATGTTGGCGTAATGTGCTTACCTTCCCTTGCTTCTTCACAATATGACAAGGAAAGTATCGTCTTATGCGATATGTGTCGCGGTGGATCATCAATTCGAATAATCAATCAAAGTGGTATATTTACTCTGGCTGGATCACGAAAATATAAGGGCTTTATTGATGGTGCGCCTGATATCGCGCGTTTTCAAGGTATCGATTACGGCAATAAATTAGCGAACGGTGTCAGCGTTATTGACAAGCAAATTTTCATTGCTGACACACAAAACAGTGCAGTGCGTACTATTTCACCGGAAGGCAATGTGCGAACATTGTTTGATTATAGAACGGAATACGATAAAAAACCCATCTCCTACCCAGTACATGTCGCGCCATGTTTGGAATCAAGCGATTACATGAGTTTAATCATATCAGATTCTGGTAACCGACGCATGCTTTTGGCAACCTTTACCAGCACCACAACCTCCGTTATAACCTTGCTTGCGGAGAATCTTCAGCCAGACCAGCTGTTTGTAACCAAGGACAATAAGCTACTTTACTATTCTACTGGATACACCCCTGAAGTGTTAAAAGTTATCAATTTGACAAGTCGTAAGGGATGGAATATTGGCAATTCGGGTTGCTTGGGATACAAAAGTGCTCTTGCGTTGACAAATGACGAGAAGGAGCTGTTGTACTATGGGATTGTAAACAACGTGGCGGGGGTGTATTCCCTCAGCACAGAAACCACCCCTGACGTGGCACCAACGCTATGCCCGACGCTGAAATTCCTTTGGCCCAATAATTTCAATGACATTCAGGATGTGGTGACGCGTGATGACACCTCTTGGTGGGTGTTAACCAAAACCTCGCTGTTTTTGGTTTCCACACACGCGATCGATAACAGCAGTAGTGGGAGTGGCATCAAACCTCCCAATCGCAATCCCGTCATTGCTGCATTTCCAACCGATTCTTTACCCAATAACGATAGCTGTTTAATGTCAGAGTTCTTCTACTGGGTTCGCAAAGACGTCGAGATCGCCTACAGGACGAATGACTACCTCACCCAGTTCGAGCCGCTGAATAGCCCTAGTATGTTGATTGGGGGATCGGTTAACGTCTCGACCTGGTGTAATCGAATTACTGCCAGTAAAAGCAATGATGGGACGATCACTTTTCTTAAATTTTGGGGGCCCCTGATGCTGTCCCCACAACTCACAAAGCGTGCGCTGATCGAGTCAAATTGGACGAACACCAAAAGATTTCTTCAGACTCAGGGTATAAAGAAGGAACCTTTCTGCTTCTTCGACTGCGGCGGTCAATGTAAAACCAAGACCTTTAGTATAGAAATGTGTTTAGGGTACAAAAGTTTTTCATGTGATGATGTGTGTAAAGGAACGATTGCCTCAGGAGCGGTTATGGGAGCCTGCGGGGTGGTTCTTTTGATACTCATGATCCTGAGTCCCAGCAATATACTTAACGCTTTGACAATGGTTCCCATCGTTTAACAAGCAAAAAAAAGGCATGACAGTGAAGAGACACGATGGTATTTCGCATCTCCTCGGGCTTATAATACAAATGATGTTAATGAATGGCAGTGCACAGCCTTCCTTTTACATTGCTTTCGAAAGTAAATATGTTTATGCATGGGATTAAGGACAAGGGGTAAACATAAAGATGACAAAGAGTAAACAAGTTAATTAGAACTGGTTCTGAAGGAGCGCCAATCGGAAAAGTTGCATATATTCATCTGTCGGTATCCCTTTCTGACACCTTCCTCCGCCGTCTCCAACTTTGCCCCGTTTTCCATATTGTAAAAAATCAGACAAACTCATTAGATTTAAAAAATATGAGGGATAAATATTGAAGATGACGTCTTTTCCTATGCAGATCTTTCTATAACGAAATATGTATATTTATTAATCATTTACAGCTTTCCTACTTCCTGTGTACTGTTTGACAGAATATAAAGAGAGGGGTGTAAACTACAAGTCCTTCCTTCAGAAAAGGCGCGGTACTTGTTTTGCAGTCTGCACACATTTTTTATTATTAGATGAATTGCAAATCTTTTGGAAGTCTTCAGACCCTTTTGTAGGATTTGCTCAAAAAAAAAGTATTAAGTCTCAGAAAAGAACAGATAATCAGCAAAAAGATGTTGATGCTCTTCTTTTGTTTTGCGCATCCTCCTTAGATACTTTCATCTACACATTATGCGATGTGGTTGATTTGATTTAGGATGAATGTAAACTTTACGGAATACGTGTGCGTACTTTTTAAGCTATAAGTCCGAGAATCTCGCCTATTATTATATAAACGTGAGGTGCACAACAGGCAAACAACAACCGAACCTATTTTTGAAGATATGTGATAAATTATTATTGTTATTATTATTACTCCAATTTATATTAAAACCTCCTACCATCCATGGGGATACCCACCTCCCGAGCCCGAACTGCAGCAGTTTTTTGGGGGGGGGATGAACCCCAAGCGCCACCTTGACACCTTTGCGCCTCCTCCCTTCTTCTTTTTATTTTGGTTCGGATGTACGTAGGTACTTATATTCAGACGCCTGTGATTGTTTTCCCATCTATGTACGTGTAACAGCCTGAAGCCCCCTTCTTTCAACAATGTTTTCTGTTACATTTCTTCCACCTGGGGCCTTGCTGGTGCTCGTGCTGTTGGTCTTTGGCCCCCTTCAAAGCCTCGCGAGGGTGGTCCTGACGCCCGAGTCCTTGACCGTCGCGGGGATTAACGAGGCGATCGGAAATGCTGATGGTGGCCCAGGCGTCAGCACGATCGCGAACCCGCGCGGGATCTGCCCATTTGACAACACCGCCGCGCACGAGGTCCTCGTAATCGCCTCGGTTAATCGATTTCGTCTCTTGAATCAGACGAATTACTTGAGTGTGTGGTTCGGGAAGGATCCGATCCCAAACACGCCGGAGAACACAGATGGCGTCATTGCAGAAGCGCATCTTTCCAACCCCAAGGGCTGTGTTCGGTTTATTCACCCGAATTCAGCTGACAAAGGGACCACATACTACGTCACGGGGAATGAATTTGTGCGATGGGTAGACAACAACGTGGTATCCTCAAAATCGCTGGGAAAGGATCTCAAACTGATCGGAATCGCCCTGCTGGATTATTATTTGTATGTGATTGATATGTTGAACCCTTCGGTGATTCGATGCACCATCAATACCGCGAACCCGGCCCCAACGAACTGTAAGCCATTCAACCTCGACAACTTACCGAATTCGGATTTGTCCGGGAAGGATATTTCTGTCACCCGTGATGGCATCTTTGTCGCCTTCGGGAAAGGGCTGAATTGGTATGATGACAAGGCTCAATTTATCGGCTCCACTACCCAAATTCCCATTCGTGGCGTCAGCCATGATCCCAATTCTAATACTTTGTGGGTAGCGACATCGTCAGCGGTGTATAATATGAGTTTACCTCCTCTTCATAGACCCTACCTGCAGTTCGACCTCTTCGCCGGGACCGAGAATAATTCGTGCAAGATGTTTGATAACAAGGATGGGAGCGATCCCAAGTTTTGCGGCATAGATCGTTTGTTTGTTAAAAACCAGAACGCAATATATCTGTCATTATCGAATGTCAATATCATCCGCGCCGTGGTGCTTCCTCCAAAGGTGGTCGAGATATCCTTTCACGGCAAACCTTTTCCGATTGGCATGATAGGTGCTGAAGCAGACCTCGACAAACTGTACGATTTACTGGATAGTACCCTCAACAGCAACCTCAAAACGAATAACATCCGCGTGAACCGCTCCATGGGTACTGTCCTTGACAATTGGACGACGAAATTAAACCTGCTTATTGAACAGCGCGAGTTTGACGACAAGCAGACGGAATCTGAGATTAAAAAAATGACATTCCCGGATTTGATGCGGGAGCTTGCGGCGTATTACGACAAAACCAATCAACTGGTATATAGCGATGTGATTCTTCTCCCGGTATGTGATGCCGTGAAGATGAACGCCATCGCGCGCGCCATCGCTTATCATGCACGAAGCGTCTTAAATTATGAACGAATCTACGCGGATCCCTTCCAAGCCGTTTCGATTGCTCCTACCCCAACCATCATCTCGGCCAAACTATTAATGCCCGCCTCGTTTGAAAATCAAACCACTCGCGACCTTCTTTTCAATGCCCAATTTCATCAGCTTTTGTTGAAAGTGATGAAAGAAATCTACCCATTGGACTACCAATACGCCGTAAGGCTTCCAATGCAGGACTACAACTTCAAAAACCTCTCACCGTATCTCGAACAGCAGGCGCGTTTGATGATTTTGGACTTGATTGAGACCCAACTTCGTCAATGTGAATCCCAAACAATCTCAGTTAATGTCAATCCTTCGCCCGCCAACGGCGTTCCCTTCCTTTGCGAGGCCAAAGTCGGCCTTTCCAACCGCACGCTCGTCCCCGCGATTGATTACTCATCTGGAATTAATGAATTTGAGGTTTTTATCCCCACCAATCGCGTCTATCGCTTTTCGATTTCGACGTGTTTGGATGAAACGAGCTGGGATGGGCTCAAAATGTGGATTAACAACTCTACTGCCGTCATTACTCCCAACAGCCGGTGTGGGACGGGGTGTATTGTGGGAATCGCGGTCGCCCTGGCGGTTTTGGTCGCCATTTTAATTATTATAGTTGTGGTTTTAGTTTCAAAACGCAGACGTTTGGCCACAGTTTTGGTTCCGAAAGCCCCAATGGCCCAGAATAAAAAAGTGCTTTTCAAGGAACTATACTAAATGTAGGCTATATATATATATATTGGGGGTGAATAGGTTGGAGGGGGGGGGGGGAGGATGTCAAAATAACGTGGAATTAAACTGAGAAAAAAGACCTTTCAAATGACATGCAGGATGACCATTTAAGGGCAATGTGGTAAAACACATGGGTATCTTTAGATAAACACATTTTACTAGTGTGGTTAAATCAAAATTTCGAAGTAAATGTGATGCAAAAACCTACCGGTTATGAATACTTACATGTAGACATAGAATGTGTTCTTTGTTTTCCACTTCCTTTGGAATACCTTTTCTAGAACAGCAGATTGTCCATGTATCCAAATTAATCTGATTAAGCAAATTTACAGGGAGGAGAAAAAGAGTGTGATAAAACGGAATTTGTTTTATCTTTATTCATTTTTTGAAATTAACAAAAAATAAAACAAAAATCATTTCACGGGTAGAATATAATACACATTTTTCTAATTCACTTATGAAAAAATAAGGATCATTCTTAGATTCAGGCCCACACTAACGGGATCAAAAGTGAATTGCACAAACATCAGAAGCTGTGCAAAAGGTAGCTTAAATTTAGAGTTTATAAGCACAAATACACATTACATGGGTATTTTATAGTTTTTATTTAAGATTTTATTGGTAATAATGATTGCTTCTTTTATAGTATCATTAGATGTAAAAAGAACCTATTTATGTAGGGAATCTATTTGACAAAGTAAAAAACGTGGTACCCTGACTACACAACACACAGACTACCCTTTTGTATGATATTACTTTGCGTATCGTACATTCGCTCCTACCCTCCATTTTGCACATCCGCGTCCTTTTTTTACTTTAACCAACATTCAGACGATTTTATTCGGAATAACCCATCCTTCATAGATACCATTGCCATTAAAACCTCCTCCTCAAAAACAAAGAAAAAAATATATAATAATAGTAATATATTTGTATATGTGTCGATAAATATCTATATATTTTTTGATCTACATATATATCTATAGCTCCCGATGTCTATGATACGAAAAGCGTTCGCGCTCGCGGCCACAACCTGCGCTGGTGCTCTTTTCTCCTGTGGTTACTATTGTTATTGTTACAACTGTGGCAATTTAGGCAATTGTGACAATAATGTTAATCATGGTAATTGTCACAAGTGTTATTCTTTCTCTTATTCTCCCCTCTCCCCCCCCCCGAACTTGACAAGGGAGGCATTTTTCGCGCGCTGCGCAGAGGCCGCGGCGTGGGGCCTCCCTTCGGACGGGGAGCTGCGTTGCTGCGGCGGTTATTGGACTAGCCTCAACTACGAGCGGCGGATCCCGAATTGGGTGCTCGAGGTGCTTGACCCCATGCCCCCTCGCCAGTCGAATAAATCCAATTCACATGCTGGACAACCCAATCAAGACTTCAAACCTGCAATTATGGGTGAAAAAACTCCAGATCTTGCGAATTCACGCGCCAAAGAGCCAAATGAGGACTCAAAACTCGAACTTATGGAAACTCCATCGACCGATCTCTCGATTTCGCGCGGGCGGAGTGAATTCTACGCCGACAGCAGCGTCCCGGCCGCCTTTCGCGTGAAGCCCGGGGATTATCCGGGGGGGAAATTCAATCGGGGGCACCTCGCAGCCGCGCAGCTGCACAAAACTTCGCAGGCGGAATTAAACGCGACGTTTAATTTGAACGCGAATATCCTCCCGCAAGATAAAACCCTCAATGCGGGGGATTGGCTCCGTCTTGAGAACTTCACTCGGAGGATTCTCACCGCGATCGGCGAAACGACGAAATCGATCCAAACCAACGGCGATGCCGCGGGGGAAATAAAAAAGGGGAGGCTGTTCGTAGTGAGTGGGCCCGCGTTTATTCCAACGTTGGTGATCCCTCACACGGGGGAGGAAAAGACAGAAAACGGAAATATGGGATTGATGCGAACTTTCCAAGGGCGCTCATCCTCCCCACACAAACAAATCGTCCAGTATGAGATGATCGGGAGAGGTTCTCAAACGATCGCGGTGCCCACGCACCTTTTCAAGGTTTTTTTGGCTGAATTCCCCAATCCCGAGGACAGTAGGCCGCGTTTTGCGAGCGCGGCGTTTCTTTTACCCAACAATCCTATCTCGGAGGAGCGCCCGCTCACGCATTTTCAGGTCCCAATGGAAAAACTTGAACACGCGACGGGGCTTTGCTTCTTTCCGAATTTAAATCGCTCTCGTGTGGAGGATTTATGCTGTTTTCACCGATGCGATGAGACATCGGGACTGTTTTTCCGACGCTACCGTCAAATTGCCCGGATCCAAACCGCGGAAACCATCCCGGAGCTTCGCGCGATTTACGCCCACATCGACTCGGAGAGCGCCCGGAAAAGTGAAACGGTGGATAGGGCGATCCAGAAGGAATATCAACAACGAATGAAGGAGTTAACTGCTAATACGGTTTATCCCATAGATAAATCCAAGTAGTTTTTGGAATTTATTGATATTATTATTATTATTATTGTCCTTTCTTATAGTATTTGTGTAGAATTTCTGTCTGGTTTTGGTTTAGGATACAACGCAGTGGTGTTGTTTTCGTTTCTTTATCACATTTATCCTCCCACAAATGATATGTAATGCAAGCTTTAGAAAGGGAATTCCATACTGCTCTTTGAAAAGCGAATGGGTAAGCTATAAAAATGGTATTCACAAATGTCACCCATACAGACCGTGATGATTAGTGAGGTAAAATAATATTTAATCTCAATGTATTGATCTAAAATCGCCAACAAAGCCTGTCGCATCGACAGCAGGTTGTAAGATCAATCAATGGAGTGCGGGTGAAAGTAAAAAAAAAAAGATCAAACGTCCTTTTCGTTGTTGTTAATGGGGGGGAAGGGGGGGTCTTTATGCTTAAACCATTCGCTGTGACGATGGTAATCATCTCAATGAGGCCAATGTTTCATTCCCCCATTACTTTATGCCCACTTTATCCTCCGTTAGCCGACGTTTTTGACTGGATTTGAAAATTCCATACAAAAGCCCTCCCAACCACCCCGCCCTGGCACCTCTTTTCATTCCAACGCGATAATTGAGGTCGGAGTGGTGATCTTTTCGCCTCTCCGCATTCTTTTTTGAAGACCTCCACACCCCATCCTCCCCCCTAAAGGAAATTTTATCCACAACGGGGAGATGGCGAGTTGTTTTTGGAATTACATTTTCGAACAAAACTTGGGGTGGGGTAAATCAGGCCGATCGGCTTTACACCGCCAAGTTGGGAGGCATGGGTCATTTTAGTTTCGCTTGGGGAGTTCCCAAAGGGGGGTGGGGATTATGAGCGGCTTTTAAATCAGTTTATCGGGTTTTCTGTTTGTTTTTTTGGAATCGATTGAACCGAGTCATTTGTTTCACGAACCCCTTATTAGGCCCATCGGTATGATTTAGAATAAAAAAAAACGAGATTGGGTTTGCGCGCGCGCGCCCCTTAGTCGAAAAAACACCACACATGTATAATCGTTCAAGTTTCCCGGTGTTCTTCGGAAAAAGTCGCAGTAATGTTTAAACTCTTTTCCACCGGTTTTCCAAACGTACGTTCAATCATAACCATCTCCCCATTAATATTTGAAACGTACGGATTCCCCAATTGCACGATCATTTGATGGGGCACCGGCGTATACTCATCCTTACCGTCTTCAACAGGCGGGCGTACGGTTGAATTTGCCCACCCCACAGGCTTTTCTATGCAAGCAAAAAGGTGCCATTTGCCCTTCTACATGAAAGAAATAAAACAATTAAATATACCCCCATTACCCAGACCCATATAGGTTGGTGGGGTTTTATCGCCGATCTTATTTTTTCCAAACTCAACCTTTAAATTTTTTACATGCCCAAGGGTAACCATTTTTTAAGAATATGGATAAACTCTTCTTTTTGTCAAAGGATTAAATTTCCTTTCGATTAGAAAGGTCCCCAAAAATTATTCCCTTTGATTTTTTAAAATTATAGGCTGGCTTTCTTTATTGGCTAGCAAAATGGCAAAAAGCTGTGCGGATTTAAGAAGGCAAAATGATAACTTGGCAATAGGCATTTAATGGATAATCCAAAAAGGGCCCAACTGTGTGCATAAATTTCCGCTTTTCGTTAAAAATATAAATGATACAAATGGGGTTTTAATAGCAATGATAACTCTGATGAGGGAAAAAAAATTTTGATAGGTTTGATTTCCAAAGAAAGGTTCAAAACCAACTTTTAGTAACTTATTATCCTCCATAAAATTGTTAATTGGGCGTTTTTCTCTTTAACAAAGCGAATCAATTGCCCATAAACCCTTGGCGGCCCCCAACGCAAACCTTAAAGGAATGCGACGGAATTGCTTTGGTAGATGCAATAATAGAATATTGGATTTAAAAATAAGCAATTGGGTGCATTTTATCCTTCATATTAAAGAAAAGGGGGCAAGCAATAATAAAGATATCAGTTGAGAATTCGGATCAATGGAAATCCCCCTTTGGCCCCCGGATGGGTAATCCGTCCCCGCTGGCTTTCTGTTTGAAATAGCCGATGTCGCTTTATGAATGACATTTTCAACAGTTCCCATTTGGCGGTTCCAGATAAAAACCCACCACGCAAAAGCAAGGAAGCGCCGGGGCGCGAAGCTTGAATTCACCATAGGTGTCCATAGCCCCTTCGCCAAAAATTCGCCTTGGTCTATGGAAAATGGCGTTCGGTCGTGAATCCGATCCCCCCCAAGAGGGAAAACAATGCCCAATATTTGACCCAATTTGCCATAGCCATTTTTTTCGTTTTGCGCCCTTTGCTTGAAAATCGTAGAAATAAACTTTTTCCCCCATGGCATCTTAAAATTTCGAACGCCCTTTGTTCCAATTTTATTCCCGGCTAAGGGACCTCTATTTTTCCCCAAACATGGGAAATTTTTTTTTTGGGGGGGCCCGAAATTCCTTTATCAAAACCGACCCCTTTTTTATATTTGGGGAAATCCCAAACGGCCCCTTTTTATTTTTTAAACGCGAAAATCCCCATGGATATTTAAAAATTGTTTGGGGGTGATTTTTGATTTGAGCCCCGCCATTGGCTTGGCGAATCCATTTGTTCATTTTTATTTTCGAATCACCCTTTGTTTTGTTTGCATTTAAAAAAAATGGGGGCCCCTTTTTTTTGCCCGGGGGGGGGTTTTCTTTTTCAAAGGGGGGGAAAGGGGGGGGAAACCTTCGAAACCCCCTATTCCCCCGAAAATCCATTATTTCTTAAAAAATAACCCCCTTGGATGGCATTTTCTATTTCACCAAATATTATTATAGAAATTTTACTTCGCCATTTTCGAAAATCAGATTCGTTGGATGGCCCCCGAAAATTCCAATCGAGGCAAGGCCAAAAAATAAATTTAAATTTAAAAATTTAAAGCCGCGCATTCGGATTTTTGGACCCCGGGAAATTTCAACCCTCCCAAAGGATTTAAACCGTTTGATTGAAATTTTGGATGGGATATTCAAAATATATCATTTTTAAATTGCTTTGCTTTTTAAAAAAGCATGGTTTCCCATTAAAATTAAAATCATCGCCCTTTTCCCATCCCCATAGGGAAAATGATGTTTGGAAACTTATTTTTGCGAGTGGTCATATTTCCCGTTTTTCGGAACAGGCCGTCGGGGGATAAAATGGCACCAAAGGCGGCAAACCTAATCTCTGAATGTTATGTTCCCCGGAAAGGCCGATATTAAGGGGGTCATGTTATTTAAAGGCGGCGCCTTAAGACTTTTCAGAATTTTTGGGATCATTTTTTTTTTGAATTCCATAATATTTTCACCATCCTTTTTGGGGGCGGTTTCAATAATCTATGCGTTGCCGGTTTTCCATGGGTTCGATTTCTATTTTTAAGTTATGGTCTTTATTTCCCGGGATTCCCGTATTTTTTGCCAAATTCATCGATGACTTTTTCATAACGAGGTTGTCTTGGGGTTTTTTCGGGGTCTGGGTTTAGGCCGTTTGCCCCCCCAAACCCTTAATGGGCCTTTTTTTCGGATACGTGTTCATATTTTTATTTCTTATTTTGGATAAAAATTAATGATGCCTTTGGAAAATTCCCATTTGGGTTAAAATAGGCGCACGCCATTTTCAAATCGTTTGCAAAAAGCCACCATTTGGTGGAATCCATTTTTTTATTCGGGTTTTAAATTGAATTCGTGTTATGGATTTGCCGTTGTGGGTGTTTTTTAATTAAAATATGGGGGGGATTGACCCATTTTGAAATTCACGAGGAACCTGGCTTGGTTTTTTCTCATTGGGGCGGTTTGGGTGTATACGAAAAAACGCCGCTTTTAACTTATGATGCATTTTATCAAAATCGCTATATGGGGGGGGGATTTTAGGGGTTCAATTCAAAATTTTTATATCCGCGGTGTTCGTTTGGGGACCCTGGGTTTGGTTTCACCCCAATGTTCTTGCAAAAATGGAAATTCTATATGGTACATCAAAATTTTATTTTGGTTTTGATAAAAACAGAATCACTTGGTTTACATCTTTTTCTCTATAAAAAACTAGAAAATAACGACGGTGGAAATGTATTGAACGTTCGTTTTGCTTTGGCGCAAAGTTAAATATTTCCATTGAAATTCTGCCATAATTAAAATACTCTTTTCATTTTTATTACACTATGAAATCTCTTCTTGATAGCCTGCTGTGAAAATTATATCCGATTCTTGATGTTCGCCATGAATATTAACTCTCACGTGTTTCTTTTGAATGGTGCATTTTTTTTTTTAATCGAGCTTGGATAACATTTTTCATAACATATCCTCAATTTTCTTTTCTTCCGAAGCCGTTTATTTAGGTATTTTATAATGATAGCACCAGTGCTTCTACGGATATCGAGTCGTTGTTGGTTATAAAGTGGGCTTCATCCGTTGTCCTTATTCCATTCTACGCCCGCCAATGCTCTTCATTCTTTTTGGATCTTTTATTTTAGTAA